CGAGTGGCCGTTTCTCTCCCCCCCACAGGCACGGTCGGAGTGCAGCTTCCAGGCCTCCAGGAGTATGGAGCCGTGGGCGGCTCCACGCACGCTGCCACGGCCGCCATGTGGGCCTGTCAGCATTGCACCTTCATGAACCAGCCGGGCACCGGCCACTGCGAGATGTGTAGCCTCCCTAGGACCTAGGGCCCCCGGCCCCTGCTGGCAGGACTCGGCCCACCGCAGCCTCTCTCTGCAGCCGGGATCATTGCAACCGTCGCCCCGCGGTGGGCAACCCTGAAGGGCGGGGCAGGGGGGGCTGCCCTGGGGTCTCCGACCCACGAAGCTTCTCAGCACCAGGCTTTCGTGGAGGGAGAGCCAGCCTGGCGCTCTGCGGGCCGGCAGCAGCCTCCTAGCAGAGCGGCACGGTGGTCCCCCCCCACCCCCCAGACGCCCCGCGCCAGCCTCCGAGGTGGTGGAAGGCCCCGGGCGCCTCGGAATCGTCACCTGGGGTTGGGAGGGACGCCGAGGCCTTACTGCCACCATCCGGCTTTCTCTTCCCTTCCCTTTGGATGCTTTTTGTTCTTGCCCTCCCGTGGTTCCGGTTGGGAGTTTTCGGTGGCCGCCGTACCTGTCGCTCTAGGCAGACCTTGCCCGTGAGGCCTCTTCCTCCCCTGCCAGCAGCCGCCGTCTGGCGGAACGTGAGCAGGACCGGGCTTGCCGACCCACCGTTTGCTTGATCTGCGGCTTAGTTTGCTGCCCACCCTTCTCGCTCTCGCCAGACATCCAGGTGGGGCTTTTTAAAGTCTGCGTTGGTTGTAATAACAGTTATCAGTAATTTCTGCCCGGAAGACTTTTATTTATTTCTTTTTAAGGTAAAAATAACATAAAAGGGGAGTGAGAGAGACTAGTTTCCACTTCCTGCCCTCCCATACCGAGTCCCTGGGAGTGGGCACAGGGCAGGCCAGGGTGGGCGAGGGTGGACGGGAACCCACAGTCAGTTCTTGGAAGTAAACCTCAGTGCCTGAGATTCTTCTGCCAAGCCACACAGCCGCCACAGCTGCGGACTCGGTGGACCAGCAGGAGGGTGGCGGTGGTTCCGCCGAGGATCGCCTCCCCCCACCCACCCCGCCCCTCCCCCTCCCCGAGGCCTCGGACCAGGCCTGCGTGGGGCAAGCTGGGTTGTCCAGGACCGGCTTTGCCCTGTACACCGTCTCCCCCCACCGCCCTGCCGGCCCCCAGCCGCCTGCGTGGCGTGTGGCCGTTGCGGCAGGCCTGCGTGAGAGAGCAGGGGCCGGCCTGTAGGGAGGGCCGCTGCCGGAGGTCGAGGTCGAGACCTTGCATGTGTGCTCTGGGGTCCCCGGGGACCTGTGGGCGGCACCCTGATGCCTCTTTGCCTTAATGCCGGCCACGTCTCTTCGCTGCACGATGCCCACGAGAGGCCGGCCCGGACGCAGACCGTGCTGAGGACTTCATGTCTCTGCCCTGGGGGTCGGAGGTGGGCCTGTGTGACCCTCCCTTACCCGTGGCACTGGGGACAGAGAGCCCCGTTCTCTGCGTGTTGGCTGCTTTTGTGGCAAGGGCTGCGCCCGGAACCTCCGAGTCCGCCGGGCATGGGGCACACGAGACTTGTCTGCTCTCCAGGCCAGGGGCCAGCTGGGGTGGGTCTGGCCTCAGAGCCATCGGTTGGGGGTGGGGGGTGGCGGGAGAGGTGCGGAGCGGCCGGCCTGAACCACAGAGTCCCCGCCAGCGTGGCCCCGTGTCGTCTGGCCGCTGTGATCCGACGCGAGGCTGCGGGGGACCCTGTGCTCAGCCTGTGCGTCTCCCGGGCCCGCCCCCGCCGGTTCTCCTGGTGTCGCCTTCACCCACCTGCTGCTCTCCGTCTCTCTTCAGCCAACAGTCTCCTCACTCTGAAGCTCTGGCAGATGCAGAACTCGTTTCCTTCTGTCTCTGAGCTGAAGGAAAAGTGTTGTGATTTCTCTGCTTCTGGTTTCAAGTCACTCTTTGTTCAGTAACGCACTTTACTTCATCGTCCAAATAGATAGACTCAGCTCAGCATGCGGGGGGGGGGGGGGGGGGGCGCCCTGCCAGAGGCCTTGGCCGTGGGCAGTGCAGCCACCTCCTCTTGCCCAGGGGAGGGTCCCCCGGCCCCGCCTGCATCCTCCTTGCCCTTGTGCGCACACACCCTCTCTCGTCACCAGGCGAGGGGTGACCGCGTGCTCCCCCGCCCAGGTGCACACAGCTGGCCGCCCCGGCCTCCTCTGACTGGTCCGCTCCTGGTGCTCACGCTCCAGCTCCGCTTGGGGCTTACAGGTGGGCGTCAGTTGGGTTTGCGTTAGCGTTACCTGGACTCCGGCCCTGCCGGGAAACTAATAAAACGCCTGAAGCGACTCTTGGGCTCCCCATTTGTCATCCCGGGCCCCGAGGCCTCTCCCTGCGCGTCGAGCTTCTGTCTGCAGGTTGTGTCGGAGTCTGCTTCCTGTTGCGTGACTTCACTTTTCTCTGCACGTCACTGACCTCGTATGGAGCCCTCTCCCCTGCCCGGGCTCCCCGGCACTGACTTGTGGTGTGTCATCCGGTGGAAGAGGAGAGCCTGGCCTCCCTCGGGCGCTTCCCTGCCTGTCAGCCATGTGGCTGCTCCCAGGTCTCTCCGTCTGGGGACAGGTGCTGGTGTCAGGCAGCAGGTGAAGGACGCAGTCTGGAAGCCCCTCCACTGCACAGGTGTAGGGGTGTCAAGCCGGGAGGTGACAGGCTGCCTGTCCTGAATTGTCGCATGACGGCGGCCAGGAGGCACTCCCTCTTGGGGTTCAGGTGCCCGCCTTCACACACACACACCTTTCTGCACCACCCAGTCCTTGGGCCACATGACTCAACCCTGGACAAGTATATAGAAAACCCTGGACAAGTATATAGAAAACGGCACCTGCTGACGTCGGGGGGCCCTAGGTGCCTCTGGGCCTGGCTGCTCCAAGCAGCATGCGGTTCACACTCCCAACCACGGCCTCCGAGTTGGGGTCACTGCCATACCCGGCCCTTGGTGCGCCTCAGAATGCTGCACTTGTTGGATCTGAGGGGAGCCACCCCCACCTCAGGAAACCAAGCAGAGGGGACGTGCTGCCTGTGAGGGGGCCCAACAGGGCCTGCTGCTGCCGTGCACACACCAGGGATTCGCCCCCCAGGCTGGCAGTGTCATTTGACCTTAGGAAGATTGAACTGCCCCCAGATTTGGCACAGAGAGCACTGGCGGGAGCGTGCACCTTGCACACCCACGAGAGGCTGCTGGCCTTCAGCCCTATGTTCGTGTCTGTAAACTCCAGGGGTCAGCACTTTATATTTTGCTCATTTTTGTTTATTATTGCTCATAAATCCTCACATCACAGTGTGGGCTTCCCCGGCTTGGGGCCAGGATCCTGCTAGGCCTCCTGAGCAGAGGGAGAGGGACAGAGGAGTGACCTGGCCCAACAGCGCCTGCAGGGTTGTCCTGGCCACCCAAGGGTTTGGCCGTCCAGGCCAGACCTGGGCAGGGTGCGGGAAGGCCTGCCCAGCTCAACCCACCTCCTAGATCCACTTCCCCATGTGCTCATTTTCTCTAGGACAGCTCCTCGGTGTTGGGGAACAGCCTGGGAGGACTGGGATGGGAGTTAATATGAGCGGGTAGTTCAAGAGGAATAGTGGTCAGACTGGCAGACAGGCCTTGGGCCCCGGGCACAGGAAAGGAGCCTGCCTCCACTTTCCAATTATGAAGGCTTATGGGGCACCTGGGTGGCTCAGTCCAACTTCAGCTCAGGCGGTGATCTCTTTCCAGCCCAGACTTCACCTGGGCGAACTTCAAAAAGGGCGAACGACAGACTGCAAGGGTCATGTTCACGTTGTGTTCAACCCAGCACCCGGAAACCGTGGAGCGGTGGCTGTCCGCTGCCCGGGGCGGGGCGGTGGGGGGGGGGGGGGCGCCTCAGCAAGGCCAATTAGAACTGCTACCGGTTGTGCATTTTGGCAGACACGGCAGCCTCGGTGATGTCAGTTTAACTTCCACGCCCGGGGATCAGTTGGCAGCTGGCCCCTTCAACGTACTGTGCTAGGCTGCACCCCGCAGATGCCTCGCTCACTCCTGGGTCTCTGACCTTGGAGATTTTCCCGTTGGCAAGGAGTGGCACGTATTTGACCTTCCCGTCTGCAGGCACCTTTCAGGGACTCTCTGGGCCTCCTGACTCATCCAGAGGAGAGCTCTTGGCTCTTCTCTGGTGAGCACTTCCAAAGCCCCAGGGAATGTGGGGAGAGAGACGGGCAGCCAGGGTGGTGGGGATGAGAGGGGTCTCGCCCTGGCTTCACTTCACCCCAAACCGATTTCTGGTTAGCCATACCCTCCTCTTCATGATCCTTTGCCCCCATTGTCCAGCCAAACTAATACACACCCTGAACAACTCGTGGCCAGGATCGGAGGGAGGGGCACCTCTGTCCATGTTTAGCTCAAACCCTGGGGTTGGGGTGGGCTCAGAGGGAGGTGACCCGTCCTCGGGCCTGGAACGCCCGGGCTGCGGGAGCCCTGGACTCCTCCAAGAAGTCCAACCGCTCCCCGGAACCCCACAAAATCGCTTTAGGAGTGGACCGTCTGCCCAGAGGAGGCGGTACGCTGGCCCCGGCCCCCCCACCCCCTCCCCGGGGTTCCGGCCCCTGCCTGGCTCCACGGCGTACAGGGGAGGCGCGACGCGACTTCGGTCCCGGCCGACCAGCCCCGAGGCACCGCACCGGCGTGGGAGGTGCCGCGGCGTTCCCCGCTTCGAGGGCGCCTGAGGCCGCGCGGCGCACGGGCGGGATTCCCTGGGGTTCCCCGCGTTTGGCTTTACACACGCGGGCCCTTTGCCAAACCGCTGTGCCCACTAGTTTCCTCGCAGGGGCGGGGCCTCCCAGCCTGCCACCCAAACTGGGACCCGGCACCCGGCGCGGAGCCGCCCCCGCCCCCGGGCCCCGCCCCCGCCCCCGGGCCCCGCCCCCGCCCGGACCGCTTTACGGCGGAGGTCGCGCCGCCACGTGGGCGGCCGTAAAGCGCCCCGCCCCCCGAGCCTCCGCCGGCACCATGGCCGGCTTCGCGCCGCGGGTCCAGTACTTGGCGGGCTTCCGCTGCCCGCTCGGGGGCCTGGCGGCGGGCAAGCCCCGCGTGCTGTGCCGCGGCGCCGAGATCTTCGTGTCCACCGGGAGCGAGCTCGTCTACGTCTACGACCAGGAGGGGAATCTGCTGACCGTGAGCGCCGGGCGGGGACCTCGGGCCCGGGAGGGGCGGGGAGTGGTGGTGGGCTCTCGGGCGGAGGGGTTGGCGGGGGTCCCGGACGGGGAATGCGGGGAGGAATCGGGTGTCTGGAGCCCGGGGTCGGGGGAGGACATGGGGGACAGGCCACCCGGGGCGAGGGGGCGGGGCGAGGGGACAGGGTTCCGAGGGTGAGGAGACTTGGACGTGGGGGGTCCTGGTTCTCTGCGAGGGGCCGGCGCTTTTGAGGAGCTTGTGTAAGGACTGGGTGCCGCTCTCCGCCTCCCCTCGGTCCTTCTCGCGGCCGGCCTGACGCCGCTTTCCCTCCGATGTCCAGGCCGTCTTCAGGTTTCCTGGTCGGGTGTGGCACCTGGAGCTCTCGGCCCTCGGCGGGGTGCTCTACGTGTTGTGCGCCCAGAAAGGCGTCTACTGCGTGTCGTTGGACCAGGCGAGCAGGTGAAGAGGGGTCACTGGGCAGCCCTCATGGCGGAGGCTGACATGGTCTCAGGTGGACTGTGGTTGTCTGGGACCGTGGCCTCCCTACTCTGTCTTCTGAAACACGCTTCTGTGCCTGCTGCGACCTGTACCTTCTGCTTGCCCCCTGGATTAGGTTCAGAGTGAGCACCCACCAGCCCTGTAGGGCTGCCGGGCCCCGGGGCCGGCTCTGAAGTCTTGGGTGCCCCCAGCCCCCAGCGTCTACATTCTCTAGCAGGCTCCTGCTGGAGGAGAACCCTTACTAAATGAGGTCTAGGCTGTAGAGTGTGCAGCCTGAGGTAGGACCCCGTCCCCTCTGCTGTGACACACTTTTTAGGTGGGCCCCTGTGGTTAGCAGTCACAGCCAAGGCACCCTGAACCCTGAGTCAGTTGGGGGGGACCGATGTTGAGGAGTTAGGCCTCAGCCAGGTACCAGTGCAGAGCCTGGACGCAGGCAGCTGCTCGTTGCTGGTTTAGGACTTAAAAAGGTGGGGGCCGCGATTCAGAGCCTAGGCCCCGGGGGCTCTTATGGTTGTGCACTGATGAGAATTTTCCTTTGGCATCCCGTTTCTGGAAGCCTGGATACATCCCGTCGCATGTGTCCCTGGGTGACTGGTCAGAACAGTCCGCGGGCAGGTGGGAGGTAGTGGGGCAGACCAGCCGCTCCCTGGGGGGCCTTCTGCCCACTGCTGAGGGGCTGTCACCCCCTCACCAAGGTCACTCCCCGTGGAGACTCTGTGCCCCGTGTGCTCGCTGGCGGTTTGTTGGGAAGAGAGCTTATGAACGTTCTGACCAACAGTCCCCTGGTTCTTGAAGGTCTGTGAGCCAGGATGACGGGGATGACAGCGACAAGAATGATGAGGACAGTGAGGACGGCGAGCCCCCTTGCCCCGTGATCCCCGTGGACCCAGATGCCTGCATCCTCCCTGACGCCACACTGTGTGCTTTCGTTGTGCTCGATGACATACTGGTCACTCTGGCACAGGGCCCTGCCCGGTGGAAGGTACAGCTGTTTCGGTGTCACCGTCCAGGGGAGGACGCCAGGCCCCCAGGCCAGATCGGCGAGGTGGAGTTGTCCACTTCCAGCCCTCTGCCTGGGAGCCTTGGGGAGCCCACAGCCCCCCACTTCCTCCCAGTGCTGTGCTGTGTGTCACCACCGGGCTGCAGCGGGCTGTGTGGCCGTATGCCGGGCTCTGGGGGCTTCACGCTGGAACGGGCCCTCTTTGGGCTGCTCTTTGGAGTTGACGCCTCCCTCTTGGAATCACCTGTGATCCTCTGTGGTCTCCCTGATGGCCAGCTCTGCTGTGTGGTCTTGAAGACCCTGGTCACCTCCAGGTTGGCCCCTGGTGACCCAAAGGCCCTTGTCAAGATTCTCCATCACCTGGAGGAACCCGTTGTTTCCATCGGAGCGTTGAGGACAGAGTCCTCGGGCGAGAACGTGGAGGACACATACCCAGACTGCCTAGTGGCGCTGGGTCGCCACGGCCGGGTGCTGGCCGTCAAGGCCAGCTGGGACGAGGCGGGGGATCTGGTGCCGGAGCTGCAGGAGTACCGGCTCCCAGGGCCTGTGCTGTGTGCAGCCTGTGGCGGAGGCAGCCGTGTGTACCACGGCACCCCCTCGGACCTCTGTGTCGTGGACCTGGCTCGGGGAGGTGCCCCCCAGGACCCCGTGCAGCCTGACAGGGGCCCGGGAAGCCTGCCCTCTCTGCTGTGTCCAGCCAGCTTAAGCGTGTGCGGCGTCGTCACGCTCTCCGTGTTGTCCGAGGTGCCTGAAGGTACGAGCAGCTGTTTAAACCTGGAAAACCGGAGCCTCTCGTGGCGGGGGGTGGAATTTTCCGTGTGGCTGTCTTCTCTCCTGCGACCTGGCCCGTCCTCCCCTCTCCGTCTCCTTCGCGCCTTTCGCAAACCTGACAGGCAGGTGTTTCCTTGCCTGGGGTAGCCTGGGGGTCGGTACTTGTTTTCCTTTGGGTCACGGGGTGTCTGGTCGTGTGTGGCCTGCGGGGGCCGCGGCGGCAGCCGGCCGCTCGCCCCGGGTAGGGTCTGCACCTGGGTGACCTACGGGTCTCCTGCGGTGGGTGGCCCAAGGAGGGGCAGGTGGTGTTTTTTGAAGGTGGGAGGCGCCTGCCCTGCTTCCCGTGTGGCCTGCCGGCCAGCCTCCTGTGCCCTGGTGCGGGCGGCATCCCGGAACCCTGCCCCTGTGTTTTGCCCAGATAGAGCCGCAGAGGCTTTTTGCCGTGTCGGCCCGGCGCCGCGGCTAGCAAAGCGTGCGCTCTGGTTAACGTGGTGCACGGGGCCCGTGGCGCCAGTGTGGACGGAACTCACCGGTGTCCGTACCGCAGGGAGGGGGTCGCGTGGATGGCTGCGCCCAGCAGCGGCTCGGCCTGGGCGTGCTCGGTGCCTCGCTCTTCTGGCTGCTGCAGCTCGGGCCGGGGCTCGGGGCCTCCGCGGCATTGGGCTTGGGGGACCAGCGGCCAAGTCGCAGGAGGTGGAGCCTGTCTCCTGGCGGCTCCCCAGGAGCCCGGGGGTGCGGGAGGGGACGGAACGGGTGCTAGAGAGAGCAGCCTTCTGGGGAGGCCCCGGCGAGTGCGGAGTGAGGACGAGGGGCTTGTGCGGCACCCTTCGGTCTGGAGGCACCTCTGCCTTGCGTGGCCCGTCGAAGGTAGAGCCGCACCGGGCTGACTCGGTGGCCCGCCTGCCACGTGCGTGAGGTGGATGTGGGCAGTGGCTCTGCCCCCCGGTCCACATCCAGGGCGCTTTGGTCATCCGGCATCTCTTCAGGGCCGTCGCCGGGACCCCCCTCTCTCGCCTGGGTCCTGGCTTCTGGCCACGTCTGTCCCGTGCCTCCAGCCATTTGCCCCTTCTCGCCTGTTGACCGGGCCCCGTGGGTGCCCATCCTCAGGTGGCACCAGGCTCCTGGCCCTGTCTGCCAGGGGCCGCCTGATGACCTGTAGCCTGGACCTGAGCTCCGAGGCGCCCTGCCCCACCAGAGCGACAGTGGTGAACGCCGGCCGGAAAATTAAGGAGCTGCTCTCTGGAATCGGCACCGTCTCTGAGAGGTGAGCGGCTGGGCTGCCTGTCGTCCGGTGGAGGCCCGTGCCGTGTCCTTGGGGGTTGGTATCCTTTGGGGGGGACGACATCCTGGGTGGCGGTGGCGGTTCGGGCCAGGCCTGTCGCTTTGCCCCTGACCCCAGCGAGAGCCCCAGATGCCACGTCCTGTCCCATCCCGGAGGTCGGGAGGGACGTCCGCCGCGTCCTGGGCCCTGCTCGCGCGTCTTCCCTGCCATCGGGGAGACTCTCTGTGCCGACGCCTCAGCTCTCCCCCAGGGGTCCCCTCTCCTCAGAGGTCTCAGGCCCCCCCCCCCCCCCGTCTCAACAAAGGCCCCAGCAGCTTCGTCCTCTGACCCACCTTTCTGCGTGGCCCGGGGTGACGGTCTGTAGGCTCCGGGCCTTGTCACTTAAGGCCGTTCCACAGCGCCTGCCGTCCCCTGGGCTGTCACCGCACTGCTGCGGAGGAGCAGGGGGGCCAGCTCAGGACGCAGCCGGGAACGCAGCGGAGAGGCCACCCCTGCTGTGGCACCACCTGGCCCATGTGGCCCCGACGAGGTTGGCCGTGGCCATGAGCCCGGTGGACTAGGCCGGGCCCGCTGAGTGGGGTTCCGTCAGCTTCAGCCTCTGTCCCCTGTGGCCCCGCTGCCCGAGAGCCGGGCTTCAGTTAGACAGCCAGGGGCACCTTCGAAAGGGCTCCAGTAGGGGTGGGGCCGGCGAACCGCCCTGAGGCAGGCCCTCGCTCCTCTCTGGACACACGTCACGGGGCCGGCCGGGTCCTGGTGTCTTCCGGGCCGGGAGGAGGGGACGCGGCACCCGCCCCCGTGCTTCCTCGCCCGCCCCCGAGGTGCCGTGTTCGTCCTTTCCAGGGTGTCTTCTCTGAAGAAGGCAGTTGACCAGCGCAACCGGGCCCTCGTGTGCCTCAACGAAGCCGTGAACGTGAGCTGCGTCCTGCTGGCGAGCCGCGAGGGCCCCGGGCCCATCTCGTGTACCACTGCCACCGCCTGGAGCCGCGCGCAGCTGCAGGACGTGCTGACGGCCACCTGCCGGCTACAGAACGGCAGCAGCTTCAGGCTGGACCGGGGCTGGACTTGGTGTGTGCAGGTGCGAACCCGCTCCCGCGCCTCAGCCCCAGACTCGGCCGGCTCGGCCACCACCTACGCCATCCCCGTGGACCGGCTGGGCCCCGGCGACCGGCGGGAGGTGACGCTGCCCCTGGGTCCCGGCGAGGACGGCGCGCCGGACCTGCCTGTGACGGTGTCCTGTGCGCTCCACTACAGCCTCAGGGAGGTTGTGGGCGGGGCCCTCGCCCCCCCAGACTCTCCCGAGGACCCCTCCTTGGAAGGGTGCCCCCCCGACACGTTGCCTGAGCAAGACGGCGTCTGCCTGCCCCTGAGCGAGCACACCGTGGACGTGCTGCAGTGCCTGCGCTTTCCCGGACTGGCCGCGCCCCCCACGCAGGCCCCCAGCCCGCGCAGCCCCGCCGGCGACCCCGTGGACACCTTCTTGGGAGCGCGCCTCGGGCCGGGCAGTGAGCCGGACGGACCCGCTTCCCTGCAGGCCAAGTTCCTGCCCCCGTCGGTGGCCACCATCAAGGTGTCAGCAGGGCTTCTGAGGGCCGCCCTGGGGGACGGTCGGCCAGGTTGGTGTCGCTGACGGCCCGGCTCCTGCCTGTCGACGCGGGGCTCCCGCCTCTTCCAGGACCTGTGCGAGCTCCCTGCGGTGCCTCTCTCCGCCAGGCGTGTCCCTGGGCTGTACCACCCTGCAGTGGCTGCTTGCCGAGAACAGCGCCCTGGACGTCGTGAGGGCCCGGCTGCTGTCCTCCGTCCGGGGAGTGGCCCCCGATGGCACTGACCTCCACCTTGTCGTCCGAGAGGCAAGCCAGGGGTCAGCTCTCTGGGGAAGTCGTGTCGATAGTGGTGGTTTTCAGAGCGGCGTCTGAGAGCCCACAGCATCTCTGGGCTGCTTGAGAGGAATCAGGGTATTGGGCCCAACCTTCCGGAGGTTTCTGACGTGCACCACCCAACGCACGCTTGTGCCGGAACAGCCTTCGCGGGGCCAGTGGCAGCGTGGACCTCGCGTTTCAGGCCCCTGTGGGGACGGGCCCACGCACTGCTGGAATTCGTGGCCAGGTGCCCCAGCATTGCTTGGCGACAGTGTGTACTCCGGGACCCCACCGACCCCAGGCCCCGAACCACCAAACCCCTGCCCTACAGGGGCGCTGAGACCTCGGAACCAACTGCCAGCACGCTTCTCGCACACACTTTCCTTCCCAAGATGCTCCCCGGTGGCAGGCCTGGGGTTGCGTCCAGCAGACTCTCACAGTCCAGCGTTGGAGGCTCACGGAGTGGCCCAGGCGGCCAAGACACCTGTCCCTGAGGTGGCGGGCCGCCCACTGCACAGCCTTTCAGGCCAGATCGGCGTGCCTGGGTTGGCGCATCCCTGGGCCGATTCCGGGCCCTGACGGTGGCTCCCCAGGTGGTGGGAAGGGCCGGGTAGTCGACCTGGTGAGCACTCGCAACCCCAGCACATCCCCAGGCTGCAGAAGGAAGAACTTCCAGGACAGTGGCTCCGCCCCTGGGCCGTTGGGTCCTGCATGGGGAGCGAGGCAGCGCGTCCTGGCCTCCGGCCTGCCCGTGCTGTGCTGGGGCTTCACCCTGAGCTCAGTGTGCCCAGAACTTCCTGGGGGCACTTGGCTGACTTTGGGCACCCAGTCCCCTCCCAGTTTCACTTCTGAAACCCTGACCTTGCTGCCGGGTGACCCGGGACGCCCGGTGTGGGCTGTCCACGGTGGAGTGGGCACAGAGTCACTGCATTGTAGAGTGAGTGCCGTGGCTGTAGTCCGTCCCACGGGAGCCGTGAGTGTCTGTCCCACGGGAGCGGGATGCCTTCTGGACGGCAGTTCCCAACGGGATGCTGCTGGTCGGGTGCAGGTGGCGGGCTCTCAGGTACAAGTTAGCAGGTGGGGAGGCCCAGGCCCGGGAGCCCTCCCGCACCTCTCCGCTTCCAGGCTGCAGAGGGGCGGCCCAGACTGGGGAGTTGGGGCCCTCTGAGAGTTGCCCTCGGGGTGGGGCAGGGCGGTGCGTGGACAGCGAGGCTCCTCGTGCTTTGCAGGTGACAGTGACCCACCTGTGCGCGGCAGGGCCCATGCAGGCCGTGGAGATCCAAGTGGAGAGCTCCTCTCTGGCCAATCTGTGCCAGGCACACCATGCTGTCATTGGGCGTCTACAGGTACATGGGCTCGCTCAGGAGGTCGGAGTGCGGTGGTGGGAACAGGGGACTGTGGCGGACCGTGGCTGCCTGCGTGGGTGTTGCAGGACGATCCTTCCTCCTCTTTGCTTGTGCGTGTTTGTGTCGTGCAGGTGAGCTATGGGCAGCTGAGGGGTGAGTAGGGCAGCTTTGCCGATGGCACTTCAGTAACGCACCGCCATCTGGTGTGCCGGCGGCCCCCCAGCGCGTCCGCGAACCCACGTGGGCACTGCGTCAAAAGAGGAGGGTCCGTGTGCTACCTGTCACGCTCACGTGCAGGCCTCCCAACTTGCCTGGCTGTGCCGAGAGGCCGTGCCCTGGCGAGATGCCCCGAACGTGGGTCCTTGGACAAGGTGCCTACGCTCTGAGCCTCCACATCTCTGCCAAGAAAGCAGGAGTGACGGCCAACCTCTCACACGCCTTTGGGGCCCGTTTTGCCACCTGGCATGGGATGAGCTGTCACATTGCTGTCCTCGGGTTCCAGATGAAACCTGCCACCTGGTGCCCTTGGCGGGACAGAGCTCTGGCTCCGAGGTTGGCCGGCCTATCTCCTCCCACCTGTTCTGAACGAGGCCTTGACAGTCATAGAGGGGTCTGCGGTGGTAACCGTCGGCCGATGGTGACAGCTCTGCGGTATGGCTCTGGAACCAGCCTCCCCCTGGAACTTACCAGAGCACATTCCCAGGCCCCATCCCAGACCTGGGAATCGGAGAACCCGCGGTCTTGGCATTTAGGCTTTGACGAGGACCTGAGTGGTGGTGGTCTAGACTCTCCAGTGCACCCTGGGGAGCCAGGAGCCCTCACCAGCCCAGGCAGGTGGGTGCTACTTAGGAGCCTGTGACCCCAGCGGTCCCCCCCACGCAACACTGATGGCACATGTGCCCACCGTGGCACGTGTGGCTCAGGGATCTAGTCCTGAGTGTGTCGAGCTGTCAGAGGGGTGTGGGCCTGGTGGGGACACCAGTCCCCGGATCGGTTCTTGTTCCCTGTGCCCAGAGAGGGGCCTCTTCGACCGTCCTCTCGCTCCTGCCAGGCCGTCTCCAGACATGCCGAGCACGGCAGCCAGGAGGTTGACGCTTAACGTGGCACTCGGGAAGGAGCGTGCTGACCCGACCACTGGCAGGGAGGGGACGTTCGTGTCCAGGTGCCACGACAACCACAGCCTGGGCACGAACGGCAGGAATTGCGTGCTGGAGGCTGAGGCCTCTCCGTGGTGCACAGACAGCCGTGTTCTCCTGTGTCTTTCCACGGCTGTCCTCTGTGCACGTCTGCACGCTTCTTACAAGGACGCCGCTCACGTTGGTTTAGGGCCCACCCACGTGGCCTCCTCTTCCCTTGTTCGTTGGCAAAGACCACAGCTCAGAGGACAGTCATGTGCTGAGCTGCTGGGGGCAGGTTTGGCTCCTAACAGGGAGCTGCAGACGCTCCCTTGATAGGAACATTCAGGCGGACTGCAGGCCACGGTCTGTCCTGTCAGCTGACACCATGGTCCATGTAACGGTCGCCGCCCCCCCCCCCCCCCCCCCCCCCGCGCCATGGTCTTCCTGCAGCGGCTGCTGCAGAGGCTGGTGGGGCCTCGCCGCCCGAGCCTGTCTGGGGGCTTGGATCTGAGCTCCCAGGAGCTGCCTGGGTTTCCCCAGAAAGCAAATGGGGCAGGTTGGGTGGCCCCCGCGAGGGCAGCAGCTGGCGCCAGTCCTGACACCAAGGAGGAGAGAAGGGCTCTGTGAGGACGAGGGAGGGAGTGGGCAGCAGAGGAACGGGGAGCGAGAAGGACGTTCCTTCCAAGTAACCTGCTGGGGCTGCAGCAGACCATGCAGAGGGCCCCTCGGAGGTGATGGGGCCCCAGGCACCCCCTCCAGATGGGAGGTGGGAAGTGTCCTCTCCAACCACCTGTCCCTTGTCCCCCCACCAGAGGATGGTTGTGGAACAGGCTGCCCAGAGCTCCAGCCCACCCGACCTCCGTGTTCAGTATCTCCACCAGATCCAGGTCAACCACGAGGTGAGGTCCCTCATCTGGGCCTCCCCCCCAGCCTGGCCAGCAAGCGCGGGACCTGGCTGGGCTCCTCTGGGGACATGCACAGGGCCTCAGGTGTCCCCAGCACAGTGGAGCCTGCCCCGACTCACAGCCCGAGGGTCAAGGGTCGGGACGGGGGCTCCTCCCGCCACCTGGGGAGTGGGGACTGTCCTCCCAAGTAGGATGGGCCTCCCCCAGAGGGGCGGGGGCCGTGCCCAGCAGGGAGGTGGGGAGTCTGAGTGCCGCCCCTTCCCCCCTCCCCACCCCGCAGACGCTGCTGCGGGAGGTGCAGACCCTGCGGGACCGGCTGAGCACAGACGATGAGGCCAGCTCACGGACCACGGCGGAGCGGCTCCTGCAGGTGTACC